GTCTGTTTAGTGTTTGAAAAGGCTTCCTTAGAAAGAAAGAAAGAAAGAAAGAAAGAAAGAAAGAAAGAAAGAAAGAAAGAAAGAAAGAAAGAGAGAGAAAGAGAGAGCTCCTAAAACAGAGCTCATCCCACCAAGAATGTTTTTCTAAATGCCTCATTTAGTAGTAGAAAAACACTCACCTCCTACCAAACCAAATCTCGTTACCTACCAACTCACCAAGTGCAGTACTGTGTGTGGATAGTGTTTCCTTCCTGGAGGATCAGAGTTATCCCCATCCCCTCCCCACCCAGTCCCCACCTCTTCAAGAACTGTCATTTCGAGTCCCCTGAGTTCACTTTAAGTAAGAAGTATTAAATTCCTATTCTGAGCCTGTATCTTAAGTGTCACAAACAGGTCCGGTTTCTGAAACTTGGAGGCTGGCAGTTGGCAGGAGCTTTGCTCTGTGTAGATGAGTGATGCAATTTCTCTTCTGGGCAAGAAGAGGATGTGGGCTCACCTGCCCGGAGGGTGAAGAGAAAAACACTGTCACTTCATTTCTGCTTGTTTGTCTGGTGGGAGGTCACACCTGATGGTGCTCAGGGTTTACTCCTGGCTCTGCACTAAGGAATCAATCGTGGTGTTGCTCGGGGGAAATCCAGGGATCGAACCTGGGTTGACTGCATGCAAGGCAAATACCCTACCGAATGTACTATTGATCTGACCCCAACTTGACAATTTTAAATCAAAATCTAGTCACTTAGGAAGACAGTTGGGTAGTTTCTTAAACAAAATAGTCTTCTCATAGGATTCAGCAATCGAGCTCCTTGGTCTTTGCTCAGAGATCATGAAAACTTATGCTGAAATAAGATTCTATACGTGGATGCTTAGAACAACATTATTCTTAAAGCCCAAACTGGAAGGAGATCAAGATGGCCTTCTTGGGTAAATGCATAACGAAACTGCAGTACATCCAGACCTTGAGATATTATTCAGCATCACAAATAAATGAGTCATGGAAAGATATGAAGGAACCTTAAGTATTATTAAGTGAATGAAGCTGATATGGAAAAGCCACATGCAATATGCTTCCAACTGTGACCTTCTAGAAAAGGTGAAACAATGAAGATAATAAAATGATCAGTGGGTGTCTACAGTTGTAAGAGAAGGATGACCAAGAAAGGCAAAGCATAAATGACTTTTAGTGAAAATTCACTGTAAATTACTATAATACTATAATGACAGTACACATCATTATATATCTATGCAAACCCACACTGCACATGAAGAGTAAACCACAATTCACACTACAGACCTGTGGTGACTACTATATGTCAATGTAGGGTCATCAAATGCAGCAGTTGTGTCTCATCAACAAATAGTGAGGATGAGGATGAGGATGAGGATGATGTATGGGGTGGATAAGGGCATGGAAGAAGTTTCTGTACCTGTAAGCCCAACTTTATGGTAAACATAACATGCTTAAAAATAATTCTTTCAAAAATATGACGAGAGGGAGTCAAGTTGATCCATGAGTTCAGATAGGATATAGTCATAAAAAAGAAAGCAAGGAACAAAAGATGGAAGAAGGTACATTAATGAGGTAGATGAGATTATTTAATTCATTCAGTAAACATGTACCAAGTACCTACTGCATAGATTTACAATGGTTGATTTATGAAGAGGTCACCTAAGATGCAGAACTTAGAACTTAAGAAAGTAGTGGGGTTGTCTTGGGTCAGTTGCTATGTGTAAGGTGATAGGTCTTCAAATAGTGATTATGTGCATCCAGTAACATTAAGATCCTGGTTAATGTTACAGCATGAATAAAAAATGGAATCCACTAGTAGGGTTACGTGACATGACACATCACCTTTTAAAAAGTCAGAAGAAATTACAGAAAGAAATTATCTTCCCCAGATACAGAGGATTGACATAGTATGTTTAGAAAATGTGAAGGCTATCTGAGTAAGTAAAAATTCTTCCCTACAGAATCCATCCTCATTAGAAAGAAACTGTCTTGAAAATAATGACAAGGATCATGGACTAAAAGGCTGAAGTAGAAGTGATTATGAGGAAGGAAAAAATTTAGTATATGCGAATAAGTGATTTAGGAGTCGGATCAGAAAATCATGGCTAGAAAGGAATGTCAAAGCGAGAAGACCCAGGGGTGCAATATTTCTGAGTGATGACAGATTCTAAGGGATGACTATTGAGACAGCAGATCTGGAACAGAGGTGAGGTTGACTAGGAAAAAGACAGCTAATGTGTCAACTGGATATCAACTTAAGTGGTGATGACTCTGAATAAAGAAATTGGAAGATTCTGATTTGTCTCAGTCTCTTAGCGACAATGGCTCAAGTACCATATTTGGTTTGGACAATAAATAATATAATTGTCCAATTAGTAGGTAACAGTAAATTCTATGATAAAAAAATTGTTAATGGTATACTGTAGGTTGGGAATTGTACATAGAGGACACAAAGAAAAGTGAGGTAATTAGAGAGACAGCCATCAAAGAAGGGATTGTTTCTGGATATTAGGAATAAGGACATGAGGATCTCAAGGCCAGAATGGGAAGCCCCATGAACCTTCCTCCCAGGACTGGTAAGATGTAGTATCGGAAAGCAAGGGATCATGAAAAAGTTTCATAAGAAATGATATTAGTCGTACATTCAATTAAATTGGAAGGTTTGGAAGATGTTCAGAACGGACTACCAAGAAATACTGAAATCTATTACCAATACAAAGGAATTTTTACAAGACATAAAATAAATGTGCTCAGTGTGAAATAAAGGTCTAGTGAAATCTGTCATATTCAGGATAGGCTGAAACAGCCATTTCTAACTGCAAATGATTATAGATGGAATGGAAGGTCAGAACCTCATTAAAGGGTTGAAAGTACAGAGCTATAATGTTAACATGCAGTGGGGACATTAGGTGGCATATTTGCTATTATTATAGCTATTTACTCAGTCAGGACAAAACCAATTTTTGTTAGGAGAAATCAAGAATACAACAGCCAGGACTGGAGAAAGACAACAGCAGGTAGGGTGCTTGCCTTGCATATGGTTCATACAGATTTTATACCCAGCACCCCATATGGTCCTCAAAGCTCTACCAGGAGTGATTCTTGAGCACTGCTGAGTGTGATCCCCAAACAAAACAAAACAAAACAAAACCAACAACCTATGAGCAAAGGAAATTTCCATAGAATTTTAATGTTCCCTTTTTAAGACGGGAATCCTGTGACTTGGGATGCATTGGCATCCAGATATCAGAACCCTTGTCTTCAGAGTATTTTTTCAAAAGTCAATCAAAATGATCCAAGTCTAGAAATATCCATGGAAGAACATGAAGAAACTATAAAAGAAGGTAAGAAGTATCCAATATGGGGTCAGACTAGGTTCACATGAAGTAGCCACCCCCAACCCCCGCCACTACAAATAAAAAAATAAAAGAAGGCAAGAAATTATGCAATTTCCAAGTTTAGATAGACTGGCAGTAAAGCCAATAAGCATTCCCACTATCTGGCACCTGGACCACAGGTGCAGAATCCAATTAATAAATTCCACAGAAAACACCCACTGCCTAGAACCCTACTAATAAATTCCATAGAAAAATAGCTCTGAAGCTTTCCAATTGGCAAATCTTGCTTTCGCTGACTTTTTCTGCCTGGGGGAAGGTGGGAGAGTTTGTACTACTTACTTTGAAACTTTTGCAAACACAACTCTGTGAGCAAACTGTTGTCTCCCTGCTATTTCTTTGTTCTTTCTTACTTGTTTGTTTAGCATTGTGAACCTAGCTTTACTGAACAGTTTTTCTAAGCTTGTCCAAAAGTGAATACAAAGAGCTAAAGTAACAAAGAGTCCTAATAAAACTGATTCAAAACTGAGCAATAGCCACTAAATAGAGGTCTAGCATTATTTACTGAAAGGTGACAACTATAGTTCCTGTGTATACAGTTATATATTTGGAAATTCACGTTTTACATTGTAAAAACTGTTTTATATATTATAAAAACTCTATGCCTGAATACATACAAAATCAGAAAACGACTAAAATCTTACAACTCATATTTAATGTTTCATTTGGAACTCTGAAAGAATTCTTCAAAAGAAGTGTTATAACCAGTACCAGCTTTTGAGGAAGGATAGAATATAAAATTGGTGACTGAATCAGAAGGCCTTGCTAGCCCAAAGAGTCTGGTTTTATAATTTTTTTATCTGAATATATGTTTGCTTCTAATTAGAATTTAAAATGATAATTAGACAGTGAGTTAAGAAATATTCCAAAGAAAAAGGTAAAAATATCTTTAATTATGAATCCAAAAGCAGTTAAACAATTTTAGCAAACATTTATGAATGCATCCAACATTCACAAAGAAAAGACAAAAGGCAAAAACTCAGACAAAATAAGACATGCCTCACAAAAACCAATTCACTAGCCAAAGCAAATCTCTCTCAACAAAAATTAATATTTGGCTAATGACTAATAAGATATTCCCCAGCTGATGTTTAAAAATTGCTAAATTTTAGACTAAATCAGAATACCATATCACTCACTCAGATTTCAATTCTGTTAGAACTACCAATGACCTATTGTAATACCAGTGGAATTTCGATCCCAAGTCTTGAGATTGACATAAAAATCTTGAGATTGACAGATTAATTTACTGATGGCTGATCCACTATATACCAATCATGGGCCATAATATTAACAAAATGTCATGGCTGAAGCTTTTTTTCCATCAAAGAAAACTTCCATAGGAATAGGCAGAGATACTTTAATGACAAACAGAGGGAAACATTTATAGAAGAAAGTTACATGTTCCTGGTGCTGGAAAATGTACACTGGTGGAGGGATGGGTGTGGAACACTGTCTGACCGAAACCTAATCATGAACAGTTTTGTAAGGGTCTATCTAACAGTGATTCAATAAAAAAAATCTTAAAAAAGAAAAACGAAGTGACAAGTGAGATATCTGGGCATCTAAAGATAGAGTAAACACAAAGGACCCTTTACCTGCCATCTGTGTAGTCTGTATCGGCTCCACCCCACCAGACATCCGAGTCATCCTCTTCTGCATCTGCTGAGTCAATATTGTCCGTCTCCTCTGCCAGTGGACAACACACAAACTCCACCCCTCGGAACTTGTCGATTCCACAGGGCAGCAACATGCCAAAGTCATGCAAGTTGGTACTCTTCTTACTACAGGTCTACAAAGGGGAAGGAGAAAACCATGAAGGTGACAGAGTAGATGCTTTTTTCTGGGGGGGGGGGGGTCACACCCAGCGATGCACAGGGGTTACTCCTGACTCATGCGCTCAGGAATTACTCCTGGAGGTGCTCGGGGGGCCATATGGGATGTTAGGAATCGAACCCGGGTTGGCCACGTACAAGGCAAACACCCTACCCGCTGTGCTCTTGCTCCAAATGCTACAATAGCATTTGCACATAGCATTAGCTATGCTATGTGCAACTGCTATTGTAGTAGATGCATTTATTCTAAGAAAATTCCCAGGACAGACATCGACATGCAGACCCAATATCAGCAACAAGCTTTTTTTTTTTCAAGTTTTTGGGTCACACCTGGTGATGCTCTGAGGTCATTCCTGGATCTGTACTCAGGAATTACTATTCCTGCCAGTACTCACAGGACTATATGGGATGCTGGGGATCAAACTTGGGTCAGGAATGCACAAGGCAAGCACCTCACACAGTATACTATTTCTCCAACCCAGACCATTTTTATAATGAAAAGCATTGTTGGCCCTTTGAATGAATTTTCTTACATCAGAGGGATTTCTTTCTTTTCTCTCTCTCTCTCTCTCTCTCTCGCTAATTTGGCCCTATGGTTTTTTACTTTATTATTTGATAAATACACATTATTATATATTTATGCAATGTTATTGTTATTTTTATTAAAGACATGTTGTGGAAACTGGGAAATTAGGTGTAAAAAAGCCTAACTGGTGAACAGATCGTAGAGAATCAATGTTTACTGGCTGTGTCAACACAGCAGGAAGCTGTCAAGCTCTGTGTAATCCCAATGAACTTCCACCTCCATTTCAGACGGAAATGGCTCTCACTTGGATCTTTCTTATTCTAGAAATTCTAACTCTCTTGGCTCACTTCCAAAATAATGATACTGTGGAAAAAGTTAATTATTTTCTGTTATAAACCAAAACCCAGATTCATTTGAGATTTTTCTTTTAACATTTTTTTGCTTCCTTGGAATTTAAAAATGTACATTAAAATAATCTAGATTAATATCGGATTACTAATAATCAGATGTTAAATTCTTATATATAATATATATAGCACTGTAGGGGCAGAGCGATAGCACAGTGGTAGGGCGTTTGCCTTGCACGCAGCCAACATGGCCGACCCGAGTTCGATTCCTCCGCCCCTCTTGGAGAGCCCGGCAAGCTACAGAGAGTATCTCGCCCGCACGGCAGAGCCTGGCAAGCTCCCTGTGACGTATTCGATATGCCAAACACAGTAACAACAAAGTCTCCAATGGAGATGTTACTGGGCCCGCTCGAGCAAATCAATGATCAACGGGAGGGCCTTTACTTTACTTATAGCACTGTAGCACTGTCAGCCCATTGTTCATCTATTTGCTCGAGCAGGCACCAGTAACGTCTCCATTGTGAGACTTGTTACTGTTTTTGGCATATTAAATATGCCACGGGGAGCTTGCCAGGCTCTGGCATGCATAATATATATAATCAGATGTTAAATTATTAAACTATTATAATCTAGATTAACATCTGATTATTAACACAGAAAGCATTCACTGGTGACAGAACAAAGATTCAACAAATATATGTAAACAACAAAAATATAAAGTAAATTTTTTTCTTTATAGGAATTAGACATTTTTTTTCTTAGAAATGAATAAAAAATTCTTTTGGAAAAGTTAAGTTTATCAGATGGGTGGTTGGGCTCAAATTATATGCTTTACAAAATGATTTCACTCATCTACAGGATAAAAAGTAACACTGTAGAAAAATAACGAATTGTCAAAGGCAATGGAAACTGACAACTTGCCTTCAGAGTGTGAACTTGTATCCCGAAAACATATATAGTTATGGAAATCTACAAAACCTCAACTGAAAATTTTTTGAAGATTGTGGCATTTTAGAAGAGTTGTGAACTGCTTCCCTAAAACATGCACATAGTCTTATAAACCAATGCAACTTCTATTAAAGAAATTTTTTAAATATCCTAGATTTTAATTCATAAACATCGCAGAAACAATGGATCTGTAACAGGTCATATTTTGACTCAAAGATACTCTGGAATTTGATTATTTTTGTAATTAAAAAGAGAGAGAGAACTAATTACCAAGCTAGCTCTTATCTTAAAAAATAAAAAGCCCTCTAAAATAACATTACAAATGTCCATAGGAAATTATCATTTACTTTAACAAGGAGAATGTTCCAGGGACCAAACCCAGGGTCTAATGTTTGTAAAGCATGCTTCTACCACTGAGCTCCATTCACGGTACCTAAGAAACCCGCTGTTGTAAAAGAAAGAACGTGTGGACTGGTACCTCTTTGGCGACAGCGTGCCAGTGAAGGTGGGTTTCACAAACATCCATCCTCTCCTGGTGTAAGAATTTGCACTTGTCAGGAACGAGAAGGGCATCGCTTACAAACTCGCCAACTGCAAGGAAGGAAAATGCTCACGTCAGTCTACTTACATCAAAGTGGTCTTCAAAGACGGTAGTAAAGAAAAGATACTACAGAGAACTCAGTCAATTTTTTTAAATGGTGAATTAAAAGCTCCCAGGACCTTTATAATGTTCATTTTGGTTTTTGGACTCTACCAGGGAGTGCTCAGGGCTTACTCCTGGCTGTTACTCAGGGATTACTCCTGTTGAGGCTTAGTGAACCATATGGGGTGATGGAGATTGCACTATGGTTGGCTGGATACAAGGCAAGTGTCGCACCTGCTGGCCTGTCACTCTGGCCCATGACCTTTCTAATGCTGAGGCTTGCCTTCATTCAGTCTCTTCCCACTTTAACCTTACAGGTTGAATACTTCCTACCTAAGTGATTGTTTTACTTTTTTGGTGCTGGGGATTAAAGCCAGGGTTTCATAATGCAAAGGTTGTGTTCTACTCAGAGTCATATCCTTGGATTAATGATGTTTTAAGTGAAATTTTATTTAATTAACAGGAATCTCTCAAAGTGAATCGGGAGAAAAAGGGGTCAGTTAGGGAATCAACTGCCATTCAATTGCAGCAAGGGTGAAATTCAGACGGAAAATGTCTAGGCAATCATTTGAAGATATCACATACAAGGAGTTGCTTACCACTCTGTACTGGACAAAATTATTTGTAAATCAATAGAAGTATTATCATTTTTCTACTTACTAAGCAAACAAAACATCTATCTATGCACATGTGATTTCATGCTTACATAAGCAAAACATGGGGCGAGACAGAGAGAGAGTGAGAGTATAATTCAAATGTATACTGTGCAAACTATTTTAATTCTATTGCTGGTATTACAGTATATACATTACAAAAAGTTCTATGCAAACTCACACTCTATCATGAATGAAAGAATAATTGTATTGTGAAACAAAACAAACTCTTGAGCTTAATTCCCCCCACCCTCCATTTTTACTGTGGCACCATGATTTACAATACTGTTAATGATAATTTCATACGTGTATCATCTCACCAACCCGCATACCAACAGTGTAACTGCTTCCCTCCTTCCCAACATTCCTAGCAAAAGCTCAGTTCTCTGGACCAACCGTCCAATTCTGCTGCCTTTGGCATTTGTTGCTCCCTTACCATGTATTTTTATTTTTTTAAGAGATTTTCCTTTTGAAGATCTTTAATTTTTTTAATTCAGAAAATTCCCTTTTATTTATTTTGTTTAATCTCTAAGTGTTTGAAATTATATCACTGTTTTGCTTGTGATTTCCCAAGTACTGAAATTCTGAAAGCACAGTGGTCTCAGAGAATCGCGGATATGATTTTTATCTTCTTCATTTTATGGAGATACACTTTGTGGCCCAGCATGTGGTCTACTTGAATAATGTTTCATGTGCACTGGAGAAAAATGTGTTCTCAACTTTGGGGGTGGGGATGAAGGGCCCTGCTAGCCCCAACTGCTCTATTTCTCCCTTCAAGGCCAGTGTTTCCCCGTTGAATTTTTCCCTAGTTATTCTATCCAGTAGTGACAAACAGGGGTTAAAGTTCCCTATGACTGGGGCAAGAGCAATAGTAAAGTGGGTAGGATGTTTGCTTTGCATGCAGTTCACCCAGGTTCTATCCCTGGCATTTCTTATGGTCCCCTAAGCACCACCAGGAGTAATTCGTGATTGCAGAGTGAAGGGTAACCCCTGAGAACTGCTGGGTATGACCCAAAAAGCAACCCTCCCAAAGGGAATTATATTAAAAAAATTAAAATAAGGTTTCCTACTACCATTGTGTTGCTGTCAATATCTTCCTCCAGTTCTGTTATTATTTAAAATAATTTAATGGTATAACATTAGGCTTGCATATGTTTAGGAGTGAGTTCTTCTTGATATATATTGAACCCTTGATCATGGAGAAATAACAATTCCAATTCCTTAAAGTCTCTTAAATGTTTAAGTTTTTGTTGTTTGGTATCAGTATGGCTACTCAGACATTTAGGGGACTTGTTTGCATGTAAGGCTGTTTTCCAACCTTTAATATGAATCTGTTTACCCTGATTTTTCAGATGTGTCTTCTGTAGGCAGCAGACAGCTGGGTTTACTTTCTGATCCCTCCTACCACTCTGCGTCTCTTGATTCAAGAGTTCAGCCCATTGACACTAAGTGTGATTATTGAGATGAAGGAATGTGTTGTCACCATTTTATAGACGTTATGCATGTTTCTGAGTTTTATTTTTTAAAGAAGCTCCTTTAATGCTTCTTGTAAAACTGGTTTCAAGGTTATGAATTCCCTTCATTGTTGCTTGTCTATGGAACTTTGTATTGGTATTTTAAATCTCAATGATAAATTAGGGTATTTCTGGGGATGGAGGTACTAGGGATGTAATGTGGGGCCTTGTACTTGCAAAGCATATACTCTGTCCACTTTGAGTTATCCCTGGCCCTTGAGGACTAGCAATGTCTGCACTGTCCTCCCGTTGTTCATTGATTTGCTCGAGCAGGCACCAGTAACGTCTCCATTGTGAGACTTGTTGTTACTTGTTTGGCATTTCGAATATGCCACGGGAATCTTGCCAGGCTCTGCCGTGCGAGTGGGATATTCTCAGCAGCTTGCCAGGCTCTCCAAGAGGGATGGAGGAATCAAACCCGGGTCAGCCACGTGCACGGCAAATGCCCTACCTGCTGTGCTATTGCTCCAAGTCAAAGTCGTGTATGTGTGCATGTGTGTGTGTACATGTGTGTGTTCACAAAATCTCCTGTTTATCAAAGGTAAAGGTAAGGTAAAGGCCCTCCCGTTGATCATCGATTTGCTCGAGCGGGCCCAGTAACGTCTCCATTGGAGACTTTGTTGTTACTGTGTCTGGCATATCGAATACTCTCGGTAGCTTGCCGGGCTCTCCGAGAGGGACGGAGGAATCGAACTTGGGTCGGCCATGTTGGCCGCGTGCAAGGCAAACGCCCTACCCGCTGTGCTATTGCTCCAGCCCTAATCATTTATTTCATTTTCATTTTTTTCATTTCATCATCCTGTTAATCGTCGATTGCCTCGAGCAGGCCCCAGTAACGTCTCTTTCATCCTAGCCCTGAGATTATATTTCAGGGCTCTATTCAGGGCTGCATTCGCAGCCGCGCGACATCTTATTATCTCATTCCTACTTTGGACAAACTTGCAGGCTGTCGAATGTAGCCTGCCCACAGGGCAGAGTCTGGCAAACTCCCCGTGGCCTACCAAATATGCCAAATACCAGTAACAATGATGGGTCTCATTCTCCTAATCATTTATAAAAGGAAAAATTTTAACTTTCAAAATGACATTTCATTTGACATTAGAAAGATGCTCTTAGGTTTCTAATATTTCGGTAGCCAAGAAACATATGTGCCTTCCCCAGTGCTTTTTAAAAGGATTAATATCGGTTATCTGATAAGCCTGCGGGCTAATGGCAAAATGAAAAACTCATTGTACTCTGATATTAAAATAAAATTTAGCAACAAACTGTGGTTTTACAGATCCACTTATACTACTTTCAAAACTGATGAAACGTACTGGAATGTTACACAACAGAGATCTTAAGCAATTGAGCCACAAAGAATCTGTTCAAAGCATTCTAGTAAGAATTAAACAGGACTAACAAATGAATCCTTTCTCAGAAACTTGCTTAGCTTAACAGTTTGCTTTAGCCCTTTTTAATTCTAAAAGGATTAAAAAATATCTACGATAGGACAGGAAATATATGGGGGCTGTATACATTCCATTCAATTTTATTGCAAACCCAAAATTGCTCTGAAAGTAAAATTAATTTTAAAATGACTGCCAGTATGTATCTAGAGTTTCCAGAGTATCAAGTGCACTTTTGTTTTTAAAATAAGTCTTCTGTTTATTTGGTTTGATCTCTATGAAGTAAAAAAACAAAATCTTAACAGAACTCCAGTGAAAGACACCAAAGCGCAAAATAAAGCATCATAATGAGACAAACTGTTACTGTTTATATCAAATTTTATAAAATGTGGCACCATCTAAATCCTAGTGGATGCATACATTGGTATACACTGTATGTTTATTAATAATCACACAACCTGGTCTCCTATTTTAAAAATTCACAATTTATATGATACACACAACATATTCGCTCATCAAAACCAAAAGGGAATTTTCAAGCCTAATGCAATCTTGGCTAAAATGTTGCTGAGGCAAAGTGAGCAATGATGCTGAATTCAAGTGGGAATCTGCTGGTCTCTATCCACCATTCCCTGGTGGTCTCTGAGAGGACAGGCCAGCTCAAATTACCTCCATCTGCAAATGGGAGGAAAAGGACCCAGGTCAAGTGACTTATCCACTGGGCCAGCTGGCAGTAGAACTGGCCTGAAAATGAGTTCTCCAGACTTTCTCTCCAAGAGAAGTAACTCAACTCACTGTCGTTTAAACTTGAGGCAAAAAGGTTTAGTTGGCAATCCCCCTGGGCTTAAAAAAAAAGTAGACTCACTTTCATAGACAATAAAATCCTTTCATATTATCATGTACAAAGTGGTCAGTAAGCACAACAATAAAACTACACTTGAGTTAGCCAACAAACCATATAAACAGAGGGGAATGCATCGCATCACACAGATCACCTGCCCAGACTATGGCCTAAGAACGCAATGGGGTCATTTCACTCACACAAGACACAAGAACACTGCTGTTGCAGATACTCAATGACAACATTGGGGAGCCGGTGGTTCTACCTTTCTGTACTGACATCCTTAGTATGCTGGATTTTGCATTCATGTTTTTCTTTCCCCCTAACTCTGGGTGGTGGCTACTGGGCATTGTTGGGGCACAAACCAAACTCAGGGCTTTACACAACAAAGCAACTAACCTCAGAGTCATACTTCTGGCTTTGCGTTCCTTTCAATGGTTACTGAAACTTAAGATTTTGGAGGGTGGGATGGAAATCTTATAAGAGGTGTTCAGAGCATCTGCAGGGTCATGCTTGGAAATACTTAGCCAACTTGACGGTGGTACAGTGCTA